TCTTATGAGAGGTACATTGTGGGGTACTTTTTCTGTCCAAATAGTCATTGTGGGGTACTTTTAGCATGTGGGGTTAACCCCACAAGTTTTTCTCGGATTTCTGTCTGAATGGACACTATGGGGTAGTACAGTGAATTTCAAAAGGTACCCCACAATGATTGTGTCCAACTGCATGGACATGTCTATATGCATTCGCTATGTACAAGACCGTAACATAATCTTCCGAAAAATCGGTCTTGGATAAAGTCCGATGTCATCCAAACAGAGACGCATGCACGCGTCACGAGTGTTGTGCTATACTTCCGGTAGTCAACTTGACACAATATCGATGTCTTTTATTGACAAATAGATATTGGCGTACAGTCATTAATACACATACATATTGCAAACATACATAAGATATCATTGAAAACATTGGTAATAATTATATATAATGACATTCCGTCAAATTCCGTGTTACGAGTTGCCTAACATTACGTTTTTGTTGTTGTTATTTTCCTTCGCTGTGCACGCATGCGCGCGGGTTTACCGGTTTACCTACAAGGAATATTTGCCGAGCTGTGTTTGTGGTGACTGGCCTGGTAAGTGTGAACATTTCTTCTTTCATTTGTAACATCATAGCAGAGTTACAGCGATATTTCATGAATAGTGCGTGATACGAAGACCTTCTGATACTTACTTGTTTATATAATTACTGGTAATCATAATATTTTCTGTGTGTTTGGTTGACCGGAAGTGATTTTAACTGGAGACTGCTCGTGTTTTTTTGCATGTCAACTCGGATAAACAAGTTTTGCAACAGTCCTTTCCATTCCTCATGTATAAGAATACTTAGTATTGATTACGAAACTAATTTCTTTAAAATTGATGTAGTTTTAATCGATGAATTCCTTGAAAAGATCGTTCGATTATGGGTAGAGTGAATTTTCGAGTCGTCCTTGACGCGAAATGGCCGGCGAAGAGACACACATCATCTACTTTATATCGTACTCCAAGCGATACGATCTGCGACGAGTTTTATCATATATTCTGTGGAGTGATTTGCAGTGTTCATACTGTTCTAAGATTGTAGATTTCAGTGAACTTTATGGCATTAAAACTAATGCCACTGATTTTGTGCAGGTTCTGTCGTACTGCAACTTTCATAAAATCAAAATTGAGATTGAACTTATACAGGAGTAGAATGCATTCTCGATCTTCAATAGTAGTAGAAGGTGATCAAAAGTTTATAATATTATCACTGAAAATATATTTTTGTGGAGTCTGGTCGTTTCTGTTTAGCAGGTTGGGCATTCCTTGTATTTTGCGGTTGAATGCACTTGATTTCTACTTTCAGTTTCCTATATAAAAAATGTGAATTTTGGATTTTACTTTTGTTATTGAAAACCGCTAATCTTTTGGTTATTACAAACAACGTTTGGTTAAAGAGTTTTTTGTTTTACGACGTTTTCGTGACTTTTGAAGCTTCCAATTTTCAGACGATTAAAAAGTCATGAAATACAACAATAAACAAAAACTGTTCAACCAAAACAAATCCACTTGTCCGAATTTTCAGCAACAATTTCATAAATGATCCATTGACATAGACTCGATTATTAATATGATATGTGTATTCAGTTAAATAATTTTATTGATTTTCACAAACTTGGCCTGGTCCACCTGTATGAAATTTTATGCTTTCACAGAAGACAGATACAACTTTATTTCATTTTTTTTAGGTTCTGGTTGCCATTTGGATACATGGTTCCTATTGTGTTTTTGTTTTTTCATTATGGCTTTTATAAATGATATCCCTTTTGGTTTCCTTGGTTTTCTTTCAAACTTTCATTTCTCAGAGGCATGTTCTTTCTGTTCAGACTTTAATTTTGATGTTTTAGAAATTGTTGTTAACGGTATTGATTATTTGGTTTTCTTTTCTTCTGTTGAATTTGATGAATGTGTTATGTTCTGTGCCAATTTTGATTGTATTGCATACAAGTTGGCCTAATCAAATAAATGTAAGCCATAATTGTAACACTTATTAACATTTCAAATTTGTATGACTCTCTAGATAAGATTGGTTGCAGTATAAATTACAAAACCGTCTCCATCACTTTGACATGTTTAACAAAGTAAAAATGGCATGTGTCTACTTTCGTTTTCAAATTCAACTTCGGGGTAGTGATATGTAACTGTTTGGTGGTGGATAGAATTAAATTATTTACATGGGTAGCCGAGTAAAGGAAAAATTGCCAATTTAAGGAATCGTGGAAGTTGGGGCAAGAAATTGAGAAATATGTAATATAAGGTGTTGTGTTAGAAAATCTGCTTTATTTTTATTCCCATGTTTCCCATGTCAAACCTGTGTGACTGGTCGCTCACCCTTTGTACAATTACATATTTTTTCTGTACTAGTATTAAGATATTCTGAATTTGTTTTGAAGATTGCGCACTGTCGCTGACCATGAAGTTTGCTTGGGCCCGCCTGCCCTCCTGCCTCAGGATGCGTTGGCCTGTCAAAAGTATCTCGGGGACCATGGTCTACTGCAGAAGTGATGACGCATGGTAAGATACTGTAGTTCAGGGGTCGGTAAAGTGTACACATCTGTGATCTCAATTCTTGTGTAAAAAAGGTTGTCTCTGTGATTGATTTGCACCTGTTGTTTGATTAAATTGATTTAATATATTTATAATCTTGCATTGTGCATAATATATCTATGTGGAAATTCATAATGCAATTAAGTTGAAATTTTGTTTAGGCTTCACCTGCGTAAAGAATCCGATATCCAACAATTTGTTGACAATACAGACATTGAGAAGTGGAAGGCAGTTGGATTAAGTAATTGTTTAAAACTGTTCAAAAAGAGTTACAAGTATACTTTTTGGGCATATCAAATTAATTATCTGCTTCTCAGGCCCGCACACATTTCATTTTAGGGTGCCAGATTGCCAATTTTATTCCAAATAAATAAAATAAAAACAAAGGTTTGTCATTGATCAACTTTGCCATTGAGAAACTTACAGTATTAATAGTATTTGAGAAACTTTGTAATTGGTTGACATTATATATCATATAGTATATACCATTCATGGTGTCTTGACAAATTACACACTGTGCTGCTTGCTGTGTTTTTGAAATTTCGATAAAAAAAAATTAAAATAAAAAAACTCATTTCTTTTGTCCACTAAAATTAAAAAAATAAAATGCCTCCCTCCCTGATCTCTTTTCAGAAAAAATGGCCTGAGAACCAGATAATTTTGTATAGCCTTAATGTTGTATTACTTTGTTGATGTTGCTGTTTTTTTATATTTTTTAAGGCTGTCATGATTTTAATTCAAAAATCAATACTGTATACATTCTTATTGCCGTCCCCTTCATACTTAGTGCCCTTTAAAAAATAAACACATCCCTAAAAGTTGTTAATAAGTCATTGTAATTCTAGTTTATTGTTTAAATTTACACCTAGACCTATTCATGAACAAACTCTTCAAGCACGTTTTGTTTTTGCAGTTGATGGTTTTTTAAGTTAATGTATCATGTTGAAATTTAAAGTTTAAAAAATCCTTTTATTTGATTTCAACTTAACTTAAAAAAATAGTTGCACTGATGCTGTGTTTTTAATTGGCTCATTTTATGTGAGCTTATTTCGTGGTGCGGCGTCTGTCGTCCGTCTTCAACTTTTCCTTTAAAAGACTAGTTCTCATGAACGTCTGCATGATTGTAACCAAAATTGGTGTGAAACTGGCACAAGTGGATCATAATTTGTATAAATGAAGTTGGTGCGCCCCGGGGCGGGGCCTCATTGTGCAAGTCCATTTCATTTTGCTGGTTGCCTGTAACATTCTAGTACACATGTGTTAGTTTAATATTTTTGTCTGTTGTGTTACACAAACTACAGTACCTCAAAAACTCTTTAATTCGGTCAACATTAATTTTATATCAAGTGATGCATGCTGATTTCTTATCATTCTTTCACCACTGAAATGACAAAAAAAAAATGGTTGAAATTAATATAAACCTTTGCTCTGTCTGCCTAGCTCTTGGCTAAAATCCAATATGGCGACTTGTGAATGTGATGAACTGCAGCTGAACTGCTATCCTATGGCTATTTTTCTAAGATTTAGAGTAAAGTAATTTTATGGTTGTGTTATTGGTTACACAATTCAGTAACATTTTTTGCATAGAAACCTAAACGTGAGCAATTACCCGGGGAATCATCCTGGTAATTGTGACAGCCTTACTTTTTTTCTCAGTTCACCCGAGTAGATGTTGTGAAAACAAATTTTGGAAAACAGCTAGCCAGAGCTGTTTTCATGGACATTGGAAAATATAATCACCATAATATTGTGCTTGTAATGTTTGGCAGCAAAGATTAATCTAGAATTAAAGTATGGGTTTGAGAGATATAACCTTGACAGACATGGAAAATAGGAAAATGTAAAAGGAAATGTACTTGATCGACAAAACTGGTCTTTTCATAGCCCTATTATATTTTATCATAGTATCCGTAATGACTGATTGCTCGGGTGGATTTTGACCATTTGTGCTTTTAATGTTTGTACGTTGCTGGTTTATTTTTTGGTTTATAGTCCAGATTTGTCCCCAATTTGTGGGACAAACTGGATAGGAGGTTACGGCGGCACCAGAATCCCCCTGCCACTCTTAGAACAATTAAGTACTGTCTTATTGGAAGAGTGGAACAGCATTCCAATGAGGATTATCCATACGCCGATTAACTCCATGCACATTACTATGGAATTATTGGTCAACAACTAATGACATTTTTGGAAATTTGTTCATTAAGGATAGTTTTTTCTAATGCGTTACTTTAAATCACCACAGAAGTTTACCCTGCGTTTCTTTATCTCGTCATTATATAATATTCAAGTTGCATTTCATTTAACGATTTGTATTTTATTATGTTCTAGGGTGAAGAGAGAAAAACAATTTGATTAGGAAGGGGGTCAGTAAAATGAAAATGTGGTGAAAGTATGTTAAAACATTTGTTTTCTCTTGCAGAATGTCTCAAAAGAAAACCTTTGACACCGGAGGCATTCCTGAACGACTCTTACAGTGGGTGCTGGAGGGTTTAAGAGATGGGACAAGAAAAGATGAAGGCAATATTGATGGGTGCATGTCAATGGAATATGAAGATGATGATGATAATCAGGTGGAAGAATCAGAAGAACGTGAGGAGGATGACCGTGACGTTGACCCAGGTTATGAACCCCACAGTAAAGAATTGAAGGAGGTGGAAACATCGGAAGAACGTAAGGAGGACGACCGTGACGTTGACCCAGGTTATGAACCTCACAGTAAAGAATTGAAGGAGGTGGAAACATCGGAAGAAAGTGAGGAGAATGACATTGACGCTGACCCAGGTTATGACCCCCACAGTAAAGAATTGAAGGAGGTGGAAATATCAGAAGAACGTAAGGAGGATGACCGTGATGTTGACCCAGGTTATGAACCTCACAGTAAAGAATTGAAGGAGGTGGAAACATCAGAAGAACGTAAGAAGGATGACCGTGACGTTGACCCAGGTTATGAACCCCACAGTAAAGAATTGCAGGAGGTGGAAACATCGGAAGAAAGTGAGGAGAATGACATTGACGCTGACCCAGGTTATGACCCCCACAGTAAAGAATTGAAGGAGGTGGAAATATCAGAAGAACGTAAGGAGGATGACCGTGATGTTGACCCAGGTTATGAACCTCACAGTAAAGAATTGAAGTAGGTGGAAACATCGGAAGAACGTAAGGAGGATGACCGTGGTGTTGACCAAGGTTATGAACCTCACAGTAAAGAATTGAAGTAGGTGGAAACATCGGAAGAACGTAAGGAGGATGACTGTGATGTTGACCAAGGTTATGAACCTCACAGTAAAGAATTGAAGGAGGTGGAAACATCGGAAGAAAGTGAGGAGAATGACATTGACGCTGACCTAGGTTATGAACCCCACAGTAAAGAATTGAAGGAGGTGGAAACATCGGAAGAATGTAAGGAGGATGACTGTGATGTTGACCAAGGTTATGAACCTCACAGTAAAGAATTGAAGTAGGTGGAAACATCGGAAGAACGTAAGGAGGACGACCGTGACGTTGACCCAGGTTATGAACCTCACAGTAAAGAATTGAAGTAGGTGGAAACATCGGAAGAACGTAAGGAGGATGACCGTGGTGTTGACCAAGGTTATGAACCTCACAGTAAAGAATTGAAGTAGGTGGAAACATCGGAAGAACGTAAGGAGGATGACTGTGATGTTGACCAAGGTTATGAACCTCACAGTAAAGAATTGAAGGAGGTGGAAACATCGGAAGAAAGTGAGGAGAATGACATTGACGCTGACCCAGGTTATGACCCCCACAGTAAAGAATTGAAGGAGGTGGAAACATCGGAAGAACGTAAGGAGGATGACCGTGGTGTTGACCAAGGTTATGAACCTCACAGTAAAGAATTGAAGTAGGTGGAAACATCGGAAGAACGTAAGGAGGATGACCGTGGTGTTGACCAAGGTTATGAACCTCACAGTAAAGAATTGAAGGAGGTGGAAACATCGGAAGAACGTAAGGAGGATGACCTCGACGCTGACCCAGGTTATGAACCCCACAGTAAAGAATTCAATGAAGTGGAAGAATCGACTGAAATTATTCCAGGCAGTGCAGATGAATCTGACAATTCTGACATTTATCCAGCATTGAAGTCACAACCGATCATCTTCCAATCACAGCCAATGGGAAACAAGAAAGCAAAGAAGAGAAAAATCGAGGAAGATGAGGATGAAAATCAGATTTTGGATGAAAGCGAAATTGCAAGAGATCTGAAGAATCCCAAAATTTACATCAGACTGTTTGAGAAAAACTCGCACACAATCAAAGGGAAACGGAAGAAATCGGACCGAGTGTACAATTCAGCTCACCCATGTCCTCTTTGTGACAAGTGTGTCACAAATTTTTCACACCACATTCTTTCTAAACAGCATGAAAACGAAGATGAGGTCCTAGAACTAGGTGACAATCCAGCAGAAAGAAAACGGAAAATCCAGCTGCTACGTTTGAAAGGTTCACATGTCCACAACGTTAAAGTCCTCCAAAAAAAAAAGCGGGGAAGTCTTTATGTTGAGGAGATCATGCACAGTGGCCAATAACGAAGAGGACGACGAAGCAGAGGAGACAGAAAAGGAAAATGACTCGCGGTTCTCTGTCGACAGGTATGGGCCATGTCCACAATGCCTAGGATGGATCCTTCAGTGCTCAGTGAAACGCCACCTTAAGACTTGTTGTGGAACTGATTGTGATCAATATTTGAAGATGAGCAAAGGAAACCTCATTGTTCAGTCCGATATCTTGGCCGAAAAGATGGACAGCAGAGCCTCTAAAGCTTTGATAGAAGAAACTTTCAAAATCATGCAGCACGACGAAGTCTCCAAAGTCGCCAAAAGTGATCCATTGATTATTACTTTAGGAAATAACTGGATGTTGCGCAACGTTGGGAACAAACTGATGAGGTGCTACTACACGTCTTCCGTAATGAGGCTAGCTGCCAAATTCAAGTTAGAATTGCAGAAGATAGATGGTGGAGACAAAGATCTAGCACAACTCCTGTCCCCAAAATCCTTTGACAACACCGTTTTGGCTGCCTTGAAGTGCTGTAATCAGGACGATGAAGAAGATTTAAAGAGCCCAACCAATGCTATAAAATTGGGCTACGACATAAAGAGGATGGCTTCAGCGAAGTTAGCAACTGCATTGAAAGAAGGTGACGAAACAGTGAGGAAGGATGCTGAAGGGTTTCTTAAACTCATGGATATGGAATGGAACTAAGGTAAATAAACTTGCAAGAGTAACATTAACAGAGCGTGCATTCAATGTAACCAGACAGTTGCCCCTCCCAGAAGACATCAAAGCACTTGCCACGTACCTCCAAAATGAACTGGAAACTTTAGATCTTATGGACTACACTAGAGGAAACTTCAGAAGAATTGCCACACTGACACTAGCGAGAGTCACACTATACAACCGACGTAGATGTCATGAAGTACAGGCTATGAGGTACAGTCAGTCATTACAAATAGAGGTATCACGAGTGACAGTTGTTTGTCAAACTTCAGTTTGTTAAGTTTCAAATTTTGAAAATCAACAAATGAGAGTTGGATAAAAACACTATAAACAACCGTCATGAGTTGTGGAACTTCTTTCTACTTATAATCAGACTCTTTCCCCATCTTGTTGACAAGAGCAGAAAGTTCCTTTTTGGCGGGCCTTACATTTTGCCGTTGTTGATTGCATATGTGACGTCGCATTATTGTTGTTGCTGTATTGTTGCGTCATACTTTGGAGGTCACAAGGTCAAATTGTGAGGTCCGGAGTTCTCGGATAAAACTGCCAGGAATATTTAAACGGCATGTGGTTTAACAATTTATTTAACAAACTCTTGCCTTGTTTATTGAGTCGCTTGAGAGTGGTGTAACACATATACAAGTTATGGTAGAAAACATTTTACTGGTAAGTAACGGTAAATTGAAATGTATGTATAAAGGCCACCTGCCCATATAAACGGCCATTTATCTTGACTCTCTTAGACTGGCTGTTTTGGACAGGATTAACTATCTATTATACCATTTTGAATTAATAACTGATATATAGAGGATATACAATTACAATTAAATTATAAAACTGATGAATGAATTGTGATATAATTGCATTGAAATATAAAAGTGTTTGGATCTCTCTTCATGCAGCTTTTGCCAGTACACATTTCCTGAAGGTCATATTCCTTGTCTTTCAGGCTGACTACATATGCACAGAGAATTGAGAGGACAACTCACGGAGTTTGAAACTCACCTCCTTGAAAGACAAGAAGTGGTTGTTATCAGAGGAAAGGTTTGTCAGTTATTAATGTTTATGATAAATGTATTAGTGGGATTGGAAGGACATTTAAACCTCCATTCTTAATATATTTTAAGCTCAAATTTTAACGAGATCTACATATCTTAATTATTCTTATTGCCACCCCCATTCTAATAAGTGCCCACCTTTTAAGTTAACCTCCAAAATGGTTAAAAAAATGTCTATAACATACCTGCAGGTACTTTTTACAACTTTCATCCATAAAGGACACCTACAGACACATTTCAGACCAAAAATTAAAAAAGTTGCCCTCCCCTTCACTCACTTTGTAAAAGTGCAGCACCCCTGGGGTGGCAATAAAAATGGATACATTATTATATCTTAGTCTATTATGAAATGTTGTTTTTTTGTTTTTAGACTTCTCTTAGACTGGTAAAGGAGTCCCTGTCATACTGCCGCCAGATGTGTTGAATTTCATGCAGTACTTGGCAAATCCTGCTGCAAGGGCTATCACCACTACAAAGGAGAACCCGTACTTTTTCGCCAATACTAGTAAGGAACTGTTTTCAGGTTATTAGATCTATAGTGCTGGTATATATGCTCTGGGCAGTACAATAGATCATTTTCTCTTTGCAGCAACAATTACGATTCATACAAAGAACTAGTGATGAAACGATGGTTGACAAAATTATTTTTGATGATCGATTGTAATAACCTATAATCGATATTGGGAAAACAACATATTTTGCATATTGAGCCTTATTTGTTAACCCACCATCAAACATCATAAATCATTTTTTACCATGCGAGTGGCTTTAATGTTACCCTTACATAGTTCTAATTTATTTAAGCGACATTTTGAACTACATTTAACTGCATTGTTTCTAATTTATTTATTAACGACATGTCCTTTTACAGGACCTTTCCAATGATATCACATATGTTGACTATTGACCTGTGACCTTGACCCTGGAGTTGTTGACATTTCAAACAAATATGCGAATGACAATCCCCCGGGGGCATAGTGTCGTGTTTGTAAAATTCTTTTCTTTTCTTGTCTTGCATAGACATTGGAGTCTACAGGGCATATGATGCCATTCGGATGGTCACCATGAATGCTGGTCTGAAGATGCCGCATCTTATTAGGACCAGTAACATGAGGAAATATTTTGCCACCATGTTGCAAGTAAGTATAAAATTGCAACCAATAATATATTCAATTCTCTCATCTGTATGTGGAAGATAGAAATATCTCCTTTCATGTAATAAAGGGGTGTATTACAAATGCTTATTACACACTCTTTATTATCCCCATTCGACGCGGTTGGAGGGGATATAGCTTTCCGTAAATATATCATTTTATGTTTGACCTAAATCGTGAATCGTACAACACTAATTTTTACCTAATGTACGCAAAACTTCACATCAAGGTCACAGAAATGTATGCATACAGACTGGCAAGGGGATATTCTCCACTTCGCGGTGCCCTTTTCTAGTTAAAAATACGAGACAGATTTTTGCCTTGTTGTCCACCTTGTCTGACCCCCACCACCAAATTGTGAAGACTGTAAATCCCCACATATTTATTAGCTCACCTGGCACGAAGTGCCAAGTGAGCTTATGCCGTGGCGCGTCGTCCGTCGTCCGTCCGTCCGTCAACTTTTCCTTTAAACAACTTCTTCTGAAGAACGGACAGGCCTAGAGTCATGATATTTGGCTGAGAGCTTCGTTGGTAGGAGCCCTACAAAGTTTGAGAACGAAAATGACCTTGACCTGTTTTCAAGGTCACAGGGGTCAAATATGTCAAAAACTTCAAACGACTTCTTCTAAAGAACTAAAAGGTATAGAATCTTCATATTTGGCTGATGGCTTCCTGGGATAGAGCCCAACAAAGTTTGAGAATGAAAATGACCTTGACCTACTTTCAAGGTCACAGGGGTCAAATGTGTCAAACACTTCAAACGACTTCTTCTGAAGAACTGAAAGGTATAGAATCTTTATATTTGGCTGGTGGCTTCCTGGGATAGAGACCAACAAAGTTTGAGAATGAAAATTAGTTTGACCTACTTTCAAGGTCACAGGGGTCAAATATGTCAAAAACTTCAAACGACTTCTTCTGAAGAATTAAAAGGTATAGAATCTTCATATTTGGCTGATGGCTTCCTTGGATGGAGCCCAACAAAGTTTGAGAATGAAAATTACCTTGACCTTCTTTCAAGGTCACAGGGGTCAAATGTGTCAAACACTTCAAACGACTTCTTCTGAAGAACTGAAAGGTATATAATCTTTATATTTGGCTGGTGGCTTCCTGGGATAGAGCCCAACAAAGTTTGAGAATGAAAACTAGTTTGACCTACTTTCAAGGTCACAGGGGTCATATATGTCAAAAGCTTCAAATGACTTCTTCTGAAGAACTGAAAGGTATAGAATCTTTATTTTTGATTGATGGCTTCCTTGGATAGAGCCCGACAAAGTTTGAGAATGAAAATGACCTTGACCTTCTTTCAAGGTCACAGGAGTCAAATGTGTCAGACACTTCAAACGACTTCTTCTGAAGAACTGAAAGGTATATAATCTCTATATTTGGCTTGTAGCTTCCTAGGAAAGAGCCGAACAAAGTTTGAGAATGAAAATGACCTTGACCTTCTTTTAAGGTCACATGAGGCAGATATGTCAAACACTTTAAACGACTTCTTCTGAAGAACTGGTAGTTATAAAATCTTAATATTTGGCAGGTGGCTTCCTGGGAAAGAGCCAAACAAAGTTTGCGAATGAAAATGACCTTGACCTACTTTCAAGGTCACAGCGTTCAAATATGTCAAACAGTTCAAACAGCTTCTTCTGAAGAATTAAAAGGCATAAAATTATAATATTTGGCTGGTGACTTCCCGGGATAGAGCTCACCAAAGTTTGCAAATGAAAATGACCTCAACCTACTTTAGAGGTCACAGAGGTCAACAACATTTTAATGGATTTGTTCTTGAGAACTAAAAGGAATGGATTCATAAGATTTGGCTGGTAGCTTTTTGGAATAGAGCTAACCAATTTGAGAAGGAAAATGACAATGACCTACTTACAAGATCACAGCGAAAAATATGACAAGCAACTTCTGAAGAAGAATCTAAAAGCATAGAATCTCATAATAATATTTTGCTGGTAGTTTCAACAGATGGAGCCAACAAAGTTTGCGAGGGAAATATTTTAGTGCAATATAATATTTAATGAAAACATTTTTCTATGACTGCTTAAATATTCAGGTGAGCGATACAGGCCCTCTTGGGCCTCTTGTTCTTTATTA